ACCTCCGGTTGTTGTGCCTGCGTTGCGTTGCCTTCCTCGGATCTAAAAATGAGGTACCTTACCTCAGGCAGATGCAGAAGGGTCTTGTAGCACCTGAGAGAAGTTGGGAAGGTGCAATACAAACACTAGGAGGAAAGGAAGGCATTATCGTCGCGTGCCTTCCCAACTCCAGGTCTGCCATTGCCTTGCTTACCACCTAACTACCGTGTAAGGAAAGCACCTACCGTACTCCGTACCTTTTGTAAGGTAACTAACTACCAATATCCGTTAGGTAGGTTGCTTCCTTCCATGCCTCGTGTGCGGTGTGAGGTTGGGAAGGTGGTGGTGCGCTTCAGCCTTCACTCTTCAAGTCTGCAGGCATCGTCCCCTCCTTCCCATGGAACAATCGTCATATTCCAACTCTAAATTCTCTTCCTCATTTTACTCTTCCCAAATCGTCAAGTATTCCCCCTACAGTACGGATAATCGTACGGAATTACGGATACAAGCTGAACAACACATTTCTCTCTTTGACATCCCCGTCAAGTTCAACGCCCCTGACCACCGCCGCTACTACGAGCGTGCGAGCCTACGACCGCGCCGCCGCTGGAACGTCTTTCTTCTTTCGTCCCTAGTTCGGTCCCCCGTCGTCTTTTCTTCGTCTTGTCCACGGCTTCCGTCATCGACCGTTGTCCATGCTGTCAATCCTCCGCAACACCCATCATCGTTGTTCGCATGACAACCCGGCTCAGCTGGAATCTTTGGGAACTTGTGGAAAGAAGAGACTGGACGATATCCCATACCGCCTCTACCTCCTCGTTATACCTACCACTGTCCCTCCATGGCCTTCTCAATCGCCAAGCCCGCTCACCGCTCCCATTCACCGATCTTGAAGTACCGAAATACATGTCTTCCAAGGCACCCGAGCATCGACGCTTATATCAAGTAATAAGTAGTGGCACTCGCGTCGGATAGCCATACCGCCAAAGCGGCATTCAGAGCCAACATCGGGACTACTGCCAACGGCCCGGTTGAGCTGAGCTGAACGCCCATCCCGCCAACATGTGCCTGGTTTCTGGTCCTACAAAGCAAGCTATGCCGGTACAGAGCAGTAAGTAAACTAGAATGGATATACATTCATCGCCAGGCCCGGCCTTGTTGTCTGCAGGCTGTCTGGGCGGTGGACGGTCTCTTTACGCTCGTCATCCCACATGTCGAAGCAACTTGGCCATCACGCAGTACCTAGGAACACGACACGACGGTCCAGTGTGTACATCCTGACTTCCTTGTCGCCTCGAGACTAGGCTCTCCCCGCTCTTGCAGACCAACCCCGCGCACTCAAAATTTCTTATCGCTTTCCCAGCGAGCCACGAGGACATCTCAAAGACAACCATCGCCTGTCCGCCCCGGCCGAAGCTCGACATCATTCACCAATCCTCGCTCGCCATAACCCGTTCCCCAGGCGCACACCGACGATCGCCAAAGTATGCTCCACATCACGCACCGCTATTCCGACGGAAATATATTCGCCTCAAGACCACCATTTCGGAATCCCCCTTTGAGGAGCACGATGCCACGGATCCACGTAGCCACCGTACGACCAACCACCCAATGTGCTTTCCATCCTCTGCAACCCACTATGTGTACATGTATGAATATCCTCCGACGCTCGGTGGACTGACGTTCCACGATCACCATACTGACGCCGATAATCGGGGCTCAACTTCACAAGTCGAAACGCTCTTTGGTGAGGCACCAAGCACGAAAACGTGGGGACGAAACCAAGGAACCTGGCATGCCTGGCAAGACGAGAGAGTGCCTTGACCCCTTGGACCCTCGCACAGTGAAAAGCATCACGGGCTAGCGACAAGCCCAGCGCTAGTCCTCGAGAGCGAACGCAACCAAAGCCACCAAACGCCACCACCACCTCACGGACCAGCATCCAATTCCAGGGCAGCCCTGGACCATGGTCCGGCTGCCATCAGGCAACGATACCACAAAGCCAGAGGACAAGTCGACGGGACAGGAGCATCGTCGGTGGAGCTTGTGCTCGGCCGCGACTCGACGGCAAAAGACTGAGACTCGTATGCAGCAATGCACATTCGTCTCGTCGTGTCTTGTCTCGTGGTTGACAACGCACCATCACATTGCACGCACTGCACTCACACTTTGACTACCACATTCAGTGCTGCAATGATTTCTGCGAGACGTGCAGCATCTCATTGCCCTCCTCCTATCAGGGATGGCAACAGACTTTTGGGGGGGGCAGATTTCCCATGTCGATCATCGGCTAGTCGAGGAATGTCGCATGCGTAGCTTTCTGGGCACTGCACCTGTTGTTAAGGCGGCATTCGCTCGAGCCAATTCCTCTCCAAAACTAGGATGATGTGACGTGACGGGATCAGCTTGACAGGCTGACAGCCTACAAGCACGTTACGAATACATGCACAACGGTTTGCACGCGACGGATGATTATCAATACCGATAGACAGAGACAACTGCTGATGGCTGGGGCCCGGAGATCCGCATCGCTGTTTTCTTCCCCGTCGCAGGCCCTAGACAAAGCCCGTGTCTTTGTCGCCTTTGCCCGGCTGTCGACGATCTCCTCTTGATTCGAAACATAACAAAGCCATTTCAGGAAATATCCAAGACAGTGCGCCTCGGCCATCCTTCCTCTCCGCCGACAATCAACCTCTGGTCTCTCCGAAAGAGCCGGCGAGGCACTGAACGGCCGCCGACCGCTGACCGCTTCCGTTGACTAAGTTGAGCCCCTCCATTAAATCAACATCAAATCTACATCCGGACTCAAATGAACCCGCGGGGCGGACGAGACGGAGTGAACGGGTTCGCAATCCTGTCGACGGGGCATATCCGTACTATTATGGACAGCAGAGAGAATTTGGCAACTCTTATGGCGCTTCCACCGCTATCGATAATCAGCTTGCAGGGTCAAGCTTTGCTTTCCGCCATCTCCACCTGTTTAGCTAATTATCCTCCGATCGAGATGACAGGTATCCCACCTGGAAAAGGAGGAGGGACAGGATCAAAAGGAGCAAGACAGTGTGACAATGCAACCACATCCTGGACCCGTCGCCAGGCGTCTCCAACTTGCTCGACAAATCACGACAGAGGTGATTGGAAAATACTACCTGTGGTGGTTGTTAACCCCCACTTGGGCCCCCCAGGTCTTGAGCATAAACGGCGAGGAACAAGAGGGAGCTAGGCGCAGAGAGGTAAAGCAAGTCGATCTGCCTGTCGGCATTTGACCGCTACCAGCGGCGCGCCATGCTGCCAGGTTGCCTTCCATGTCACAGCCGGTGCACTCCAAGTGGACTGCTGACTCGGGATGCCGTGGAGAGCAATTTGCAGTCAAATCACCTGATTCGTGGTACCGCAGATAAAATCTTCAAAGAGTCAGTGGTCAGGCGTGGATTACCGGTAACCTCACGGAGTAGGTACTGGGACTCTTGTGTCACTGTGAGTACCTAACAATATTCAAACTTAGAGTTGGAGGGAAAAGAAGCGATGTTACGGCACCTCTCTCACTGTCTGCCGCTGCAGCAGCGATACTTCATCATTGGATGTCGACCAAGGCGAAGGCTTGAGGAGCAGATGACCTCTCCAATCATGGATAGCGAGGAGATACGACTAGCACCCGTCAACTGATCTAGCATCGAGACTAAAGGCCCGGGAATAAGCTTCAAGGCGCCAGCCTTCCTGCAGCACAAGCTACGGCACGCCTCTCATGCAGCCCAAACAACCTCAACACGGCAGCAGCAGACTCTCACTCCAGAGCTTAGACTTGCGAAGTCGCGGCTCCTTCCCCCCTCCTCCCCCTCCATCTCGACGAGGGAGAATGCTTGGCGGTCCATGGTCCTGTCGGGGGCTGATTGGTGCCCTGCAGACCGTTATATTTCTACGGCTGCTTAGCGGGGTCGACCACCCCCTCGCTGATGTCCCTTCGCACTGTGGTACCGATTTCGAAGGCGGTCTGCAGACTACAGCGCCTATTTGCCATCTGGTAGCACACACCCACGCAACGAGGCTCGGATACACACGCGCACGCTCTCAAAAGTAAGTAGTGTATTGATACCCATGTACGGATATGTGAGGCGGCACAACGTAATAGCGCGAGGGCGGCTCCGTGCGATGCGGATCTCCCGGTGGGCTCTCTGCACCGCCCCTCTTCGGAGCCAATTTGAATTTTCCAGCGGCGGACACTGGACGCGAGGCTAATCGGTGCGCCGTGGACGTCGAAGAAAAGAATTTGCGAAATTTTTTCACGGAGCCTCTGATAGTGTGACTTTCTTCCCATGAGGCTCTGAGTCTGTCCCACCGAAAAGACTCCGTGGCGCTACACGCGCATGGAGCAGGACGGACGACGGTTTCTGATACGATGGCATAATGGAGCCCAGTGGCAGTGACACCATTGTCATCGACAGTGAGGAGTCCTTTTCACGCGTCCCTATCACTGGTCTCCAGCTCACATGTCAACCCAACCGCATCGATTTATTTTACGCGCTCAGCTCATGCCAGCGACCCGACACGAGTACACCAAGATGAGACCTGGCACACGATCAGGGGCCTGCTCCATCACGGCGTTGGGTAGTTGCCCGCTGTACGGAGTACCTTTGGGGGTCTCCTCCAGTTCCATGACTGATACCAGGGACCGATGCGACGAATATCTGCCGGCAACGTGCTTTCTGTCGTCTGTTCGCCAGGCATCGAGTCTACTCTTGAGTCGCGTGTAGAGTGGAAGGAGCCTCAAGCTGTCTTCAGCCATCAAGTTGTCGCCCACATATCTGCATAGCGGAGGAGCGCGCCCAACTGGCGGAGTTGGTTTCCTCTTCAAAGAGGCCCGCTTTCACCTCGACTCGCCTCGCTCAACTTACACCAGCAACATTCTGTCCATCTCGGGTTTTCCGTCTCGGGCCATGGATCTCGCTAGATTCTTTAGGCCGACGACGATAGTACCCAGTGCCGCGAAGTAGCGGTTGTGCATATCTTATATTCGTACCTCGCTAGGGCGCGGCCGTGCCAAAGTCCTCCGTAGCGTCAGGTCTTCTCCAAGTGCCCTTCTCCAGATCCTTGATCATTTTCTCGATAGATTTTGCATGGTTGTATGCGGAGCTAAACGCCGCATCGGTGCCGGTCAAGAGACTCACGCGCTTCATTTCTTGGCTGAGCCAGCCCAGTGGTCGTCCGTGGGGGGTGTAGTGCTTCAAGTTCAAGTTCAAGTCGGCTATTCTCATCAAGTGCTTGTGCGAAAATATTACAATCTTGAAGCGGAACGTGCCGTTTTTGTTATAATCGTTGGACTTTAACTTTGTGTATGCGCTGACGACTTGCGGCTCGAGCGAGCGGCTCTAATAGGAAGACTCATCAGCAAATGCTCGAGGGGCGAGGGACGAGGGGCAAGGGGCGCAAAAGAAGGTATGATATTGTGACATACCGGAAAGGGGCGACCGTTCGGGAATTGTTCGTTGAGGCATTCTGTGATTGACAGTGCGCATCCATCGATGTGGTTGTCACGAAGAAGCTCCCACTTTCGTCTATATTGGGGCTTTGCCGTCTTGAGAATGCGGTCGAGGAATCGGGCGATTGACTGCTCGGCGATTTGTACCAAGGGAGATACTTGAGATATGCCCTACGACGGCGACGAGAACAACAGTCAGCGGCGCCATCGATGCAAGTTTGTTCCACGAGACCAGGACTGGGATTGGGGACTGGGGCTGGGGCGGAAACCGCAGCGGTGGATCAAAGACTCACTCGCCATGGACGATGGCTCGGCTCGCCAGCTCGCAGTCGGGTGGTGTATACGGAATTCTTGGGGTCGTGGAAGCCCTGCACGGCTGCCTCGAGATTGCGCCAGTCTTTGTTGATGATTCTCAGAAGACTGGCCGCGCGGTGGGTCTGCTCAGCATCACAGCCAAAGGCGAGGCATTTCCCGATGCGCTGGTTGAGCACATAGGGGCTGACTAGAGTTCGAGGAGGGTTGTTTGGCGGCGTTTTATCTGCGCTGGTGACGCTGGCGGCGGCGGGCTTTTGTACGTTGGGTACTGCGTCGCGAGGGGAGTATGTTTTTACTACGCGGCACAGCATCGACCGTTGAAGCCTTGTTGCTGTGGACCTCATTGTCGGGAGACGCTTGCTCTGACGAGCGGGAAGCGTGAGGTGTATTGGGATCGGGGTCGGGGATCGGAGGTCGGGGGTCGAGATTATGAGAGGGCGGCGAGGGTATCGAGGCTGGTTTTGGTGCTGCTTTCTCTGGAGCCGCGGCGCCCTCCGGCAGATGGATGACGACGACGAGGGAGAAAGGGGGTTGCAGATGGCCGGCCTCAAGCTCCTGAGGTTCCGCGGATGTCGAATGTGATGTTGAGGATGCGGCGCAGTTCGGCCTTCAAGGAAACAAACACGGCTGGGCTGGGCTGGGGAACGGATGTGAGGACCTTCAAAGCTCCAACCAATCATGAGAGCTGCTGGAGCTTGGTCGGTGGGGATGGGACCTCTGGGGTGTCTTACATCATCCCGCCGAGGTCTGAGGCCATTGGAGCGAGCTCTCGACCTCATTGACGACCTTGCGAGCCATGGGTGTGAACTGCTCAAGTTGACGGAACCTCACCATCTATTCGCACTCATCGTCTATAACAACAGCAGCATCGGAAGACTGACTTTTTCTTTATTTCGACGAGCTGCTCTGACAGCAGTCCGAAAAGAGGATGAGCGTCGTGAGCACCGAGTTGCGGAGGCGGGTCATTGCCATTTACAAGGGTGAGTTGAGCTTCCTTATGGCATTGCTATTCGTGTTTACTCCAAGATGGAGCATCGCCCCTTTGCAATCAAGCTATGTCGTGTAGCCTCGAGGTTCTCCAATTAGTCGAGTTGGCTTAGTGATTGGCAATCCTTGTTTGCCTGTGAAAGACGTGCCCTTTTCAAGACGTCATTTGTTGGCGCATCGTTGCTTTGCAGACAGACAGACGTCTTTGAGTCTGGACATCCCATCGAGTCGGCTGATCGCAACACTACCGAGTTCAGAACACTCTACATCAATCCATCTCTCTGCCTCTCCACTGCCTCACCCATACTTTCACCTTCCACCTTCCATCAACCACCCTGGCTAGACTCACACTGCAACAACACCCCGAAATGAATCGAACTGACAAGATTGCTGACCATCGATAACAGAACTCCTTTACCTGGGTCGAGAATACCCCCTCGGCTATGATTACTTCCGGCCGCGTCTGCACAAGGCATTTTCTGCTAATGCTGGGTTGCGGGATGAGGAGGCTATTCGGCGGGGGATCGAGAGGGCTGAGTTTGTGAAGAAGGGTATGTTTTGTTTTTATTTCTCATTTTCTTTCATTTTTCTTGCTTCCCCCCCCCCCCCCTTCGGTTGTTTGCTTTGGATGGTCTCCCTTGACAAGTTTGTTTGTGTCCCGTTTGCGATTTACAATGGTTTTTTTTTTTTTTTACTTCGCTCTTTCTTTGTTTCCTTGTTGGTTCTTTCCTTTTGTTTTGACCTTGTCTTCTCAGGGCATGTCTGATGCTGAAGGATGGTTGGGAGGAGTCGTGGATGGGAGTCTGGGGCGTCAGGTCTTTGGGCTCGGCAAGTGTTGCGGCAAAGTCACTTGACAATGCCATACCACAGATCTCATCGCAAAGTGGGAGGTGAAGGTGGCAGACCGTGGGTTCTTCGACTCTTGACTCCGACCCGGGAGACTCAGTGCCGAGACAACGCCAGAGGAGGCAACGCCAAAGGGGAGGAGGAGGAGAATGGCCCTTCTCCCGGAACTAGGGCAAGATAAGACCGATGAGTACTCGATTAACGTACGATTACATGGCCCTACAGGATCGATTCCGAAGTCGGAGTTGTTTCAGCCTCATCAGGGCAGTTTGTCTTCACTTTAAGAGGACTCTCCCTCTTCCAGTGCGTCAGATCTCGGTGTCCTTCAAGACTTGCATTCTGCCCTCATGTTAGAGGCGAGCTTCTTCTCGCATCTAGTGGTGCTTCAAGGCTGGTGTAGATATACCAGGTGTTCCTCGTCCGCATTGTGTGCCATTGAGGCATTTGCAAATGCACCCTGGGCATTGACTTCGTCGTCGTGGCTAGTACCATGTACAACAAGATCTCGTTTCTCGCACTGACGGGACAGCGGCTGTTGCTTCTTGCGGTATGGCCAAGTAGCCCTTCGTCAAAACTCTCCTCTACATCTCTATTCCAGGTCATCATAATCCAGCGTCCCCTGCTTCCAACTCGTCCGTCCACTTGACGCTTACGCCTCTTTCCACGGAGTGAAGTACTCCCCGTAGTCGAAGTCGAGTATTATCGTTCACAGTAACACGTCTCTTCAAACTACCGCTACATGTCCATAATCTTACATACCACGCTGGCCGAAATTACAAGCTAGATTGGGCTACTTCTATATCGAAACACATTACATGTACACACACAGTAAAACTCAGGGGTCACTCCTCCTGCTTCTCTACCCCTTTGCAAGAAAACACCCCTACAGCAATACTGCCAGCTCAGAGAAAACAAAACAAGCAGAACTAGAAGAACCAGAAAGACTGACTTTACAACGCACAGAAATCGAAGCATTGTAAGTTAAGCCAAGCATCCCCTTATCTCCGCCATATACACCCCCTCTCTCTTCATCTCATCGACAATCACAACGACATTCCCCATTCTTTGATTTTGTTACATGCGCCATTTTCCCTCCCCAGTACGGCAAACTTGTCGAAATGAGCACCCTCAACCGACATACCGGGACCGCAGCTAGCGTCACCGCTCGTATCGTACGCCACATATCCTTCCCAAGCTACCTATGCCACTATAATCACTCGCCCTCATCACTCACCCTCCACTCACCCTCCTTAATTTCTCCCCAAGAATAAGACCACACACAGAGCAAGCGCAGTCACTTCACGACGCGCGCAATCACATACCCGAGGCGTCCTGTACTGAAGCCAAAGCTCGCCTGACCTACCTCATCTCCTTCCCCTCACCGCCCCTATCCACAAAGTTGTACACAAGAGGACAAACCCGCAGGTCTCAACATCATAACCCAGATTATGCTGACACCCCCTCTTCCACGCCTCAATCCTCCACTCATCTCGAGACGTCTACTCATTGGCAATGAACCCAACACATCTCAAGAGCAACACGCCTTCCATCACTCCATCTCCCCCCTCCCCTGTCACAGCTGGAGTACTTCACCTTTTTCAAGCTCACGCAAGGGGCAACGTCAACCTCTACGACCAGCTCCCACCCCCCGAACCCTTTACGTTGCCCAGCCACTCCTATCCTCCTCATGACTCGCAAGTTGCCTGCTTCGTCCTGATCCGAATACCAAGTCACTGCATGCAAGTTTGCAGCATCAAGTCACACCTTGCTTCACATTATAGTCCTCTAGTCACTCCGTGGTCTCATCATTGTCACTCCAAGGCATAGCATAAGGCATAAAATGTCATATAGGGGGGGATATAGATGTTGTATAGCTATGATGAATGATGTGACAGGATATGTATGTATATATGTAGATGATGTGGTAGTAGATGATGATGATGATGATGATGATGGGGTATCTTCGATGAAACGGATCTCTGACCTTTCCCCCCTTATTCCTTCCCTCCTTCCTTCCTGCCTTGTCCCTTTTCGCCATTCCTTTTTGTTTCTTGTTTCTGGTAAACTGTATTCTGCCATCGTTGCCGTAGGCGCTGCTTCGCACTCGACTCGGCATAATGCTAATCGCGCAACAGGTATTATCTCAAGCGATATCGGGCGCTGAGGAAGCGGTACGTCCCAGGGGCGTGATGTGACGGGGCGTCTTGGGTTGGGCACAGGCGTAGGCCGATGTGAGGGCCAATCATTCCCATAGAGTCCAATAGACGTCGCCGCAAAACGCGAATGCAAAAACTCCTTCTTTTCCGTCCACCATAACTTCGTCATGCTGCCCTTCATCGCTCCCTCTTGCGTGCCCACCAGGCACCGACTTCCAAACACTCGCCCCAGCTCGTGCCATTCTCCCTCATGAGGTCGTTCATCATCTTGCCTAGCCAGCCGTCCCATTCGTCCTGGCTCTTGCCGCTGACCTCGCGCAAGATCGGCTCCAGGCTCTGGATCTGCTGTACGACGGTCATCAAGGCCGTGCGGCGAAGCGCCGCCTGGGCCTCGGTCAACGTCTTCTTTTGCTCGTCCGGCTTGTCTTTGCCTTTGCCCTTGCCCGAGTTGATGAACGACTTGCCGTCCTTGGTCACGACGCCGCCGACGCCCTCACGCTCCCAGCGCACTTCAGAAAGTGGGATCGCCAGGCGCTTGCTTTGTATGTCGGTCAGCTCCTCGGATTCCTGGATGAGCATAGGGCCAATGAGAGTGCATGGCACGGGACTCAGGTTGCGGGACTCTAGGGCGCGATGGACCCAGCTGTTGTACTCGACGAGAAAGTTATTCAGCGGCGCGCTCAGAGGGGTCTTGGCCGAGATGGGATACGCGCCAAGCGAGGCGACGGTGGCAGTGTCTTCGGTATCGCCGGACTGTGGCGCTGCGTGGGGCCGTAACATACGGATCTGGTGGTCGCTGTCCCAGAATTCCAAAGTGCCACCCGGGCGCAGAATGCGATGGTATTCTTCAATGGCGTTTTGTAGTGCGTGCGGCGACGTCACTACCAGACTCAAATCCTTGACCATGACCAAGTCAAACTCGCCATCGGCAAACGGCCAGGGGAAGTTGCGAAGGTCGTGCTGCATGAATCGCCATTTCATATCGCGCGATACGTCTCCCGCATTCTGGCCCATTGATCCAATATCCATGCCAGTGAAGTGAATATCGGGGTGACCTCGTTGTGCGAAATACCGGTGACAAGATTGACTCCAGAATCCGGAGCCGCACGCAACCTCGAGAACGCGGCCAGGCGGCATGCTGGCAAAGGCTGTGGAGCAGATGGGCGATCCAAATAATTGAATGAGCAACAGTGTGCGCAGTGACTGGCGATGGATCTCGCTCAGGTCAACCGGCAATGGGTATGCCAGTGACGGGTCAGACAGATATGTGCGGCCATTGCGCAGACAGTACGGGCGGGAGGCATCGAAGGAGTTTGTCGTGGGGTCGGAGGACGTCATTGTGCGGGTCGATATGGAGGCCGTTGAAGGAGCCGCCGACGATAGACTGTCGGTACGGGAGAAGGGAATTGCACCGGCCTTGCCGGCAGTGAGGTGACGGCCCGATGTGTCCGTGTCGACGAGCATGGCGACATGTTTTAGCTCATTCGCGGTGAGGCCGATGTGGGATGGGGGCGATGCGAGCGCGTGTCTCGCGTACGAGCTTAAGCTGCCGCTTTCCTTGCGGAGGCGCGCCGGCGCCCGGATGCGAGGAGTGCGGTCGGCACCAACGCGGCTCTCTTGTAGCGAGCTATGGTGCTTGTGCTTCTTTGGAGACGCTGGCGAAGCGGGATCGCGCGGGTCGATAGGCGACGCAGTCGAGAGGGTTGTCGAGGTGGGTGTGATTGATGTCTCGTGCGAGGAGCGGGAGGCCGAGGACGATGACGAAGTGCGAATTTGCTGAAGACGGGTTGCGGGGTGGTGGTGGTGACCAAAGTGAGAATTGGTTGTTGATGATGATGGTTGGCGCGACGGTATAGGCGAAGAATCGGCCGGGTTGGCCTTTGAGAAGAAGGACGAAGAAGACGGGGTAGGTGGTGCGGCGGCGGGGGGTTTTGTTGATGTTGTTGATGACAGAGTTGTATTGGCAGATGCAGGAGTAGTGGTATCCGTAGTTGCAGCACCAGCACGAGTACCAGCACTAGCACCAACCGCCGCCGTGTGTTGTTTGCTTTTGGTGGTGTTGTTTGGGGTCAAGGTTGCAGTCGCAGTCTTTGGCCTAGTCGACTCGGTGCGAGAAAGAATGGGAGGGACGGGGGCGAAGCTGGTGTACATGTATTGGGACATGTTTGCAGAATCTTCCGCATCCACGAGTGCTTCGTCAGGAGGAGCGGCGGATTTCTGGGGCCCTTGGGCTTGGGACCCGGTTGTGCCTGTGGTTTGTGGCTCTGGTCAGTTGGGTCAGTCGGGTCCTCTCTTCGTGTCTTGGATCCTCATGTCTGCCCTGCCCTCTCTGGGGCCGGGAAGACGACAACGAGACCCAACTCGCAGGTGGGAGCTCCAGCTCGAATGGACGGGGGGGAGGGGAGTGGAGGGGGGGTTTGGGGATCCGCAAACTGCTTGTGGATTGTGGGAGAGAGACTCTTGGGAGTGGGAGCAGTGGAAAGGAGGCAGAGAGAGCGCGAGAGAGGAGGGGATTGGCAGCTGCTTGTGCTTGTTGCCTGCTTGCTCGTTTGCTTGCCGCAGCTGCTTCTTGCTTGCTTGCTTTCCTGGGTTTGGGCCTTTGGGGTGTGTTCAATTCAGTTCGGTTCCATTCCAGTTTCTGTTGCGACCTTGCAGCTGGGGGGGAGATGATGGTGGATGTGATGTACCAGGTGGAAAGGGGGGGAGATCATGGATGGGAGGGGAAGGGGAGGGGTGTGTCTGTGTCTATGTGTGTCTGTCTGTCCGGTGGAGGGGAAGAGAAGCACCCGGGTGGGAAAGGAAGCGGAAGGGAACGGGGAAGGGGGGGTGAGGGGGGAAGGGAAACCAGGAAGGATATGTTTTTCTTTAATTTGGCATCGCCTCAAAGAGTCAATACAACCGCCATGTACTTACAGAACGGTTCGGTCCTTTTTGAAAGCCAAGAAACCAAAGACGGATAGTCCTCGTGGCTCTCGTGGTGGTGGCACTGGCACTGAGAGCGGCACTACTACTCGTGCTCCCATCTTTCTCTCTGTCTTCTTTCTCCTCTCTCTCTGTCATGTCTGTCTGTGTCTGTGTCTGTACCTACACTACTGCGTCCAGATACTCCGTAAAGATACTCCGTAAAGATACTCCGTAAAGATACTCCGTAAAGATACTCCGAACATACATAACAGATGCAGAGTGGCAGACAGAACCAAAAGGCAAGGATGCATGACTTAGCGTACTGGTCTGTACGTACCTTGCAGCAACACCCAGCAGGGAGCCCGGGGATGGGGTCAAGTAGTAGGAACAGGCAGGTAAAGTTGAGTTGGGCAAGGTACACACTGACACCCGGCCGCGGCGAGGGTCAGGGGGTAGTGGGGGGTGGGGGGAAGAGAAATTGGAAAATGAGGGAAAATGGGAAAATGGAACGTGGGAATGGATAACGGAGACGGATGAGGAAGAGGGACCAAGTAACCAAGAGCAACTCGGGTAATCTTCCGCGGTTCCAAGTCCAGTTTAACAGAAAAAGAGTCCGTTAGGATTTCGCCGATTCAGGACTCTGGAACCAGACGGTCCAAATAGACGAGCGACTTGCCGCTCTCATGGTCCTTGGTCCTTAGACTTCTAGTCTCTCTCTTTCTCTCTCTTTCTCTCGCGCGCGCGCGCGCGGCCAAGGTCGAAAGACGGAGCAATGACGATGAGAGAGACAAAGAGAAGGAAAAGACCAGGTTAGAGACTCGAACTCGGACGTTGCACTAGTTCTTGCATCTGCTCATTCTTCTTATTTGCTTCTTCTTTCCTTTGGCCTTGACCTTGTTCGTCTTCCTCGTCTGCTACACGCACACACGGGGCGGGAAATATTACAAGAAAAAATAAATAAGAAAATGGAGGGGACAAATTCACACATACACACACACACACAAAAACACCACGCTGACCAGACGTAACTGGCTGCTGGGCTTGCTAGGGACCGAACGGGGATCGGTACGGGGTCCACCACAGGTTCGTTTGGCCGCCTTGTACCTTGCAGCACCTTGCGTCGCTCGCTCGCCGTATGGAGGAGTGGGTGAAGGTACTTTGGTCGACTGCAGGTACCACGTCGCAGTTGTGCAGTCGTGCAGTCGTAGTCGCAGGTCGCCCAAGTCTCTCCCGTCCTTGGTCCGTTGCCTACCAAAGGGCACAGAGCAGTCAGTGTACTGAACCACAGAACCTATCCTGACCTGACTGGACAGGTCTCAGTGGACGGCCCTGGCGCTCCCGGCCTCGGTGACGGGAAGGGAAGGGAAGCACTGGACGCTAGTTGGAAGCTGCTTGCTGGCGATTGTTAGTGTAATGTTGAAATGCTGCTTGGCTTGCTTGCCTCGCTGTCGCGCTCTCGCTGTGCAGTATGTGGTGCTCTGCTAGCTAATGCGCTAACCAATGCTGATGAGCTAGCACCGAAATCCACGAAGGTTTGTAGTCCCGTCCGGCGCCGCGTCTCAAGTCGTCCCAGCTCGACAAGACTAGATACCAAGATGGGCAGCTTAGCAGAAGCTAGACCTCGGGCTATCTGATAAGCCAAAGAGCACGAGGAGGACGAGAGCTCGTGTATGCCGGCTCTGTCGCTTGCTGTTCTGTGCCTCTTGTTTATCGCGGATTGGCGACTCCGGGTCGCAGAGGCCTTTGCGCGGCAAACAACCCAGACTCAGGAATGAGGCCAGCCAGCAAGCGGACAAGCAAGGCAAGACAGGGCAGGGCAGACGCCGTCGACAGGCCTCTCGGGTATCCGCACCGGCAGGGGAAACCCGTTTGGACGGTACCAAATTACCAAAGTTCCCCGGCCAGGGCAATGGAGGGAATCGCAAGGGGTGTGCCTTTCTCTGGTCTCCAATTGGCCCGTGTCGTTCGTCTACTGTTGCGTGGGATCGTTGTGTGTGACCCGCCGACAAGGTGATCCACGTCGGAGGCTTCACCTCTGGCCCGCGTAGCCTGTGTTGGTGCGCCGTCCGTCTTGCCAATGACAGTGAAAACGAGCACTAGCCCTCAGTGTCCGATTCCTCAATAATACCGATGGATGACGGCACTTTGCACGTATCTGTGCCTGGCCTATTTGCCCGCCAATGCGTTTGTTTGATTTGCTTGGTTTGTTGTCGTGTTTGGTTTGGGCCCGTGTCGTCCAAGCTTCCCACTTGTTTCCCAAGCGGACTCGTCACAACTCCACGAGTCTCCTCTTCAGCTTGCTAGCTCCGGCCTGACAAGAGCCACTAGGGCGGCAAGACTGGGGTTCGGTGAGCAATAAGACCAAGCCAGCACTTGAACAGCTCAAAACTTTGGTTTGTTGGTCGACCGTCGCCCACGATGGCGTCAATGTCGAGGACGTAATGGATGGTGTCCCTGCTCTTTTCTCACGTTGACCACTCGGCGGCAATCCAGCAGCTGTTGAAGAACGACTGTGGCTGCACAAGGGGGCTTTTCCCACACACCAAAGAATAAGGCCAGCAAACGCCTCACTCAGCCCCCGATCCAGCTCGTCGGGACGCCCGGCGCTGTAATTCTCCAATCCAAGCCCACTCAATCGTGTTTCTTTTCCCCTAGGTTCTTTGTTCGCGGGGCACTTGGTGTACTTGACCCAACTCCTGGACCTGCCGTTCTTTTGTTCCAATGTCTCTGTCTCAAACTTCGGCTCTGTGCCGTCGGGTCTGCCTCTTTCGCACCTGAGACTCGATGACGGACTAGAGCAAGGCTTGACAGACAAATGGGAAAGCAGGTCCGACAATAACAAAGTCGGCCGGACAAGTGATCCCCAAACAGTATGCCCTCGACCTGTGAAGTCAGCGACCCTCGTTGGTTTGTTACCTCTCCTTTGCCGTTGACCCTTGCTACGGTAAGCCAAGGGTCTGAGAGACGCCTGCAAGTGCAAACTCCTTTGGGAGCAGAACGGTGAAGGGACTTAAGGGAGAGCACCGGGAACCAGGCCCCCGGTAGAGTGCAGTCAATCTATCGTATCCGTATGGGTGGCAGAATACTGCAAGTTGGATGAGGGCGTGAACCTTGAGTTTTCAAGTGAAGTTGATTTCTGACCGGCGAGGACGTGCGGGCCCTCGGTGACCAGAGCGAAGAAAAAAAAAGATGCTGGCCCCTGTTTTTTGACGTTTGGGTGCTTTGTGTCGACTGTTGATCCTCTTGGTAATGGAGTGGACCGGGCCGCGCTGATTTCGGGTAGGCAATGGAGACTGCTGGCAAATCGCTCCTCTTTGTTCGGTTGTGCCCTTAGTCAGGCTGTATCTTCGTAATCACGTATCCGTGTCCGTAGAGTACTCAGGTACGGTATCCGTACTTGGTAGAAATCAAAAACCCGGTGGCCACAGTTTGCGTCAGCAATATGACTGCTGCCCGCCTCGCCGGGAATTCGGCGGTTTGGCTCAAATATCTCGACAGTGTCCGGATAGAGAGGTACGGATACCTCGTCCTGCTGGAGCCCAGAAGGCAAGCAAGAGTCGAGTGCGCCGGAGCTTGCCCCGTCCTTCTAGAACCTGGACCAGGTTCTTTCTGAAAATTTGAGACGGCGGGATACCGGCCGCTTGTTCCCCGGTGGGGACGGGACTGGGGTCAGTGGAATGACGGATAACTGACAGGCCCTGGTTGGCTGGCTTGAATTTGCGCTTGGGTTGGATGGGAAAGCCGCCGAGCTGAACAAGAGTCGTGTTTGCCTCGCTCTCGTTCTGCCCCAAGGACCAACGCAGTAGCCGTTATTAAACGAGAGGGCCAAAGACCGCTGCAAGACAGGATAGGACGGTGCTGGTCGAATTGGCTCTTGTGCCGCCTCGTTTGGTTCCGTTTGTTGTCAAGCTTCCGGCCGGTCTTTCTTCGCGGTAAATCGAGCAGAGGGTGTCGGTACGGTCACTACGGTCAAGGTCCGGGCCCTTGTCTGAGAGACTGTGATGAGCCGGATCCCTTGTTTGGTGTTCCGTCGCTTCGCCCCGTCTCGCCTCGTCTCGGTTCCCGCAGACAAATGGTACCGAGGGGATAGATGGATCAAATTTCACCGCGGCGTCTTGTCGGCGATGGCCTGCGTTGGTTACGTACATATATCGAATCCTGTCGAATGGCTGCAAGGTCTATTTTGCCGTGACGCCTGTCTTGTTTCGTCCCGTTCCGTGCGTGCAAGCTGGCTCTGTCACTTGTGATTTGTGTGGTCA